TTGCATATATTGTTTGATGTTTGGTATTTATTGAAATCTAAATCAAAGTTAACAATTAATTCTAATGATATATTTCATGGAATCTATACCTATTTAACTTTTATCAAAATTTATCAAAAATTTGATTTTAATCTCCACTAAATAGGGGTAAAATCACAATAAATTTGAATTTTGATAACAGGCTAATTTTAAAAATTCTCCAACAATTATACGCTAATCGAATTTACAAATTACTTATGTCATCTCAAAACTTATTTCGAGAACTACATTAGGGCATATCGAATAGTCCAGACAGATATCGAAAATAGTTAAAAATACATTAAACATGAGTTTTAAAGAAAAACGTCTAACTCGCATTTTAAAAAAAAATCGATTATTTCATTAACATTTATTATTTTTGTGATACAAATTTATCAATATAATTTTCATCATTTTATTAGGAAATTTTATATGGAATATGATATCAAAAAATTTCGAAATTTTACATCCGAAAAAGTCATATTTCATGTAAATTTTCGGATGTAAAATTACATGGGGATATGATTTTTTTGAACGTAAATTTTCGATTGTAAAATTTCTCCCAACTTCTTTACAAGTTCGATTGTGTCCCCCAACTTTAAACTTCTGCGTCCGCCTATTTATAAGAGATTGAGCGAGACCAAATCCAAGATTCTGAATTCTCGGTTATTAAGGATGAGAGAGGCAATATATCACAAAGAAGTCTCCCATTTTATTTTGTATAAATTTTATTATATTGATTTTCCTTAAACTTCTGCCCCTTATCGAAACTCTGGATCCATTCCTGTAAAGGCTTGATTCAACAAGGAAGGAAATGCTTTCTTACTTAGCTCAAAGACAAAAAATGGTAGTGATACATGAAAATTTAATTGGAGTTCCACACCACAAAAACAGAGGAAACTTGACATGCAATCTAAGAAGGCCTTAACCATTGGAAAGGAACCAACCTTCCATAGCACCCATGTACCGTGAAGTTGGAGTAGGAACAACCTTACATAATTGATTCTCTTCTTAAGTGGCCTCGTCTTTTCTTCTTCTTGTTATGTCTATTTTCCATTTTGATGAGTTATTTTCTCATAAATTTCTTGCTAAGGTGCGTAACAAATTGCAGCGAAATAATGCCAATGTATTTTTTAAATCAAAACATATGCAATACATTTGATTCATCATGTCTTTGAGTTAATTTTCAATGCTAGACCGCTTCCAACTTATGCACCACCATTCTCATGAAGGGTTTTAATACTGTAATTCTTGTTGTGAAGTGAATTGCAATTCTTAACATCTTTGTTTGCTTTTCGAAAACTCGAATTCTACCTGCCATAAGAAGATGGAAGTGGTGTTTGATATTCATTTTCTTTTCTTTTTTTAACCAGTTTTTGGAGTCTCAGTCTACTCAAGTTTATCCATATACTATTTTCTTTGCTAATGCATTGGCCAATCCTTCCACTATTCAGCAAATATCTAAAAAGAAAAAGTTAGATAAAAAACCCCTAGAATGATTCAATAAGATTATACCGTTTAAAACTTCGGTCAGCAGTCATTTGATGTCTTGGTTCGTAGAAAATTACCATCATCATTAATGGTTTTTGATATGATAACAAAATGCAAATTTACCTTGATTTGTGATCTTTCAAAACAATTGAAGAAATCTCCAATTCTAGATATAGGAAATGAGCCCGTCTGTATCCAAGATTTGCAATAAATTATCGTTGATTGCTGGAGATGATGAATCATACACATACTATTTTATTCTAATGTTCTAAAAATCATAAACTGTGGTTAGATGTGGAGGCCAAACTTCAAACTTTACGAGCCTAGACGTAAAAAAACTTTACTTATTTTTTTATTATTTTAAATGCTTTATCATTCTAAAATTTATTTAATAATTAAAATAATACATACAAATATTTAAATGAATAAATGTTAAATTTACTACTTAATTCTTACAATTAATCAATTATACAATTTTCAAGTTTTGAAATGCAAAAATTCAAATATTTTTCATAGTTTCAATTTTCAATTGGATAAGTCCTATTTAACAGATTTATAGGAATTTCATACATATTTTCCAAGTTTCCAACAACATGATAAGTCTCAAAATCATAATTATATAATATTGATAATATCACAACTTATATCTTATCTAAATCTTCATCGGATAAAGTGATTTTTGACTTTTGTACCGATAAAATTATTTAAAAACTTGAAACTAATGTTAAATGAAAGTCTTTAAAAAAAATTAAAAACTAAAAAACCAAAGTACAATAAAAGGCTTTTAAAAAAAGGGAAAGAAAATTTTAAAAAAATTAATAAGGTGCGCATTAAATGGCCATCTTAGCTATTGATTGCTTAATTTGCACTTATGGACAAAAAGAAGCATTTTGTTCGCTCCTCATGCATAGGTGCCTCCAAAGCATGCTATTTAGAATATTGATTTATTCCATAACTGCTGCTAGCATTTTCCATGATGTCTTTTGAAATAGCGGTTGATTTGAAAATAGACTTAATTGCAGTTTAATGTATGGTGTATTTTGAATTCATCAGTTAAAAAATTTAAAATTATAGAAATAGTGGAATAAGAGATATTTTAGGAAACAATATTTGATGTTATATTTTACATATTAAATTAAATAGTATATTATAATATGTAATGTTTCATTAAATGGTTTATTTTTAGTAGGTATATATGATTTTTTCCTTATTTCCTCCCTATAATTTTTGGGCTTGATCACACAAGCAGTGGACCTGTATAATCGGATCTAGAACTGGCAGGTTGTAGATACTGGCTACTCCAAAAGATTGAATTATTACCTTATTCGTCTACCCAGCCACACTAATCCTCTCCACATGGCGTTGTAATCGATGTCAATTTACCCAAACCGTCTAATTTCTTGAAACCCACAGGTCCAATTTTAAATGAATTGAATGGGCTACTCCCAAATTTTTTTTACTTCTGCCAAATTGAAAACCCTCCATTCTTCAACCTGTCACCATCTCTATGTAGATCATCTCAAGAATCCATAATATTAATAGCTTGTTTGGGAGAGCTTAAAATCCAATTAAAATTGAAAATATAACTGTTATTGGGTCACATTCGTTTAATAAAAGTCAACAATAACGGCTAGCTTTTCAATTTTAATCCGATTTTAATATCTACCAAACAAACTCTAAATCTGTATAATCGGATCTAGAACTGGCGGGTTGTAGATACTGGCTACTCCAAAAGATTGAATTATTACCTTATTCGTCTACCCAGCCACACTAATCCTCTCCACATGGCGCAATCGATATCAATTTACCCAAACCGTCTAATTTCTTGAAACCCACAGGTCCAATTTTAAATGAATTGAATGGGCTACTCCCAAAATTTTTTTACTTCTGCCAAATTGAAAACCCTCCATTCTTCAACCTGTCACCATCTCTATGTAGATCACCTCAAGAATCCATAATATTAATAGCTTGTTTGGGAGAGCTTAAAATCCAATTAAAATTGAAAATATAACTGTTATTGGGTCCCATTCGTTTAATAAAAGTCAACAATAACGGCTAGTTTTTCAATTTTAATCCGATTTTAATATCTACCAAACAAACTCTAAATTTCAAGTCAAATTAGATGGATGAAGAACATGTAAGGCTCAGTTCCTTCAAAAAGGGCATATCCAGTCTCCTAATCCGAGGTTCCCGCTTCCCTTCTCCTGCAGATGCNCCCCCCCCCCCCCCCCCCAACTGTAATGGCTGCCTCCTGGACTAAGCCCAGAATCAGTAGTTGGCACGGGTGATTTTTCAGTAGCAAGGCCCTTCTCCTTACTATCCTTTTCCTAACTTTCCCAAGCTTGAATTGGCAAATCAAATTTTTCCATCATTCCTGAATGCATTGATTTGAACTCTGGCTGTAGTGATTCCAATCCTGTTTGAAGTTCATGGTGATTGCTCTCCACCCAGTGTTCCAATTCCCCTACTTGGTCGGCAAGTGTCAATGCTATGATGGTGATATGGATGTTCTGATACCAGATTGATAGGATTCAGTTGAAGTACAAAAAAACAATGGAATAAGAACCAGAAGATATATTTATATATTGATTGCATACTGCAGTACAAAAGAAAGAAAATTAACAGGCAGCCTTTCAAGAGGGCTGTATCTCTCCTAATCTCACTTCACTCAACCGATTCATTCCCTAATCCTTTCCCATTCGTGTCTTATTTATATTCTGTTCTGTAACTACTTTTCTCTTCCTATTCTACCCCTCCAACAGAATTTTGTTGCAGCTCCTTCCCTTCTCCTGTCTCCTTGTGTCTTCTAGAATAGGTATATAGAATTGGGGTCCTATCAAAAACATGAAAACAAACTGTCCTAATTATGTATGCATTTATTGATGCAGGTATATGCTGTAAATAGTAAACTAATTATTTTAGTATAAGTTGCCTGAATTCTAGTCTTGAATATATCTATTCTAAATGCTTAAACACTTTGAATTCATTTTCTTACATAAATGTAGACAAGAGGAAAAACTGTTAGTCTGCTTAAAAAAATGGTGTTTAGTTTGGACCCAGATATTTAAAATTACCCACATTTTCTTACTACATATAACTACAATACTACAATTTTAACATCTCCAAATAATTAATATTTTTGCTTTCTTGTCTGTTTTGGGAAGCAGAAAGGGTTACTTATGCTTACTCACCACACCACTATTTCAACAATCTTCCTTCCTATCTGCAGAGTTTCTTTCCCTGAATTTTTTGTAATTGTAATTGAAAAACTTACTTCAGCTCTCTCTTCTTTCTTTTGTGTACATTCAAATATAGCTTAAACTGTTTGTCTAAGGTGTCCTCTTCTGCATATAATGTAGCTGTAAAAGCTGCAATCTCTATCATAATTTTTTGTTCATTTTGATCTTGATAGTGATGGAAATGATGGTAATGACAATGCAAATTGAAAAACTTCAGTTCTAAAGAAGCTCTGCTAGTCCGCTCAAAAGCACATGTGGGCTTCACTCATTAGCAGTGGATTGAGAATTCTGTACTGCCGCGTCGTTTATCTGCCAAAACCGCTTCCGATTAAACCTCTTTCTCTGGTGAATTCTGGGATCCAAACCCCAATTTTGATGGATAGTTTCAATAAAAACCCTTCTTTCACTGCTTCCTCTGGTTCCAGCAGAAGGTCTGTGTGTGTGTTTTCCTTCAAAAATTCAAAATTGTTTGTTTTCATATCAAATACTATAAGTTTCTTTTCTGAACTCTTTTACTAATTTTTGGATGTAATTTGTGGTGGGGTTGGATGAAGAGGACTGGAGAAGAACGATAATCGGGAAAGATCAAAAGGCCGCAGTGGTGGCTCTTGCAAAGATAAAATTGATGCTCTTGGCAGACTCCTGTATGCAATTATTATTACTCTTTTATTTATTTGATTGTTTTATTGTTTTTGGATCAGTTATTATTTAATTGTAGTATTTTTAATGGAACAAAAGAAGGAATGAAGATGAAGAAGAAGATTATCCAATTTACACAAGTATAATCAATAATTTGGGAAATATTTTATGGGTTTAAAGCAGGAATGGCTGAGGAAAAGTTTAATCCAAACGGGCTGCTAATAAAAGTGTGATGTCTTGAACTAATATGATTATAGAAAACAGGGCATTCTGAAAGGTTCTTATGACATTACATTACTTATGCTTTTGATGTTATACTGAAAACTAGTCAATGAAAGAGGTAAATTTTCTTAATATTTATTTGAATCCTTCTTGTAGACCACAATTTATATTTTACAACTATTATTGTCCCCTTTAAGAAAAAAGGAAGTCCCAAAGAAGGTGACTACTGTTTTCCAGATCGGAGAGCGTTCCAATGGGTTCTGATCTATTTATTTTTATTTTTTTGTTATAATTTAGGATTAACCAGATATGAAATGAATGCTAAAATCTTCGTGCCCCCAGTTAAATTTAGTTGAGGCATCTCTCCAATTATTATTTACTTAAGTTATTTGTTGGCAATAATTTCAGAACGCGTATATTGCGGCACATGGCTTCTGAACTGAAATTGGATATGAGGAGTGATGGATATGTCAATGTCCAAGACCTGCTAAAACTAAAACTGAAAACCTTTGCCAATATTCCATTACACTTGCATACAGTTGATGATGTTAGAGAGGTTTGTTCTTTTATCTATGTATACAAACCTAATGTGAAGAATTCATATCAAGTACCCTATGTTAATGTACATTTATGTTCCGTTGACTATTTTTCGGGGGTAAATTTCAAGTATTCTTTACCTAAGATTTTGGATGACGTCGATCATCTATGAATAAGTGGTCATCCTTCTATTTTTATCTTTTAGTCTCTGTTCAGGGATAGCCTTGTCATTTGAATTCATCAGCAACTCTTTGCATGTTCTCTTGGAAATTATTTTACGGAGGTTACTTCTTGAGGCATGTCTCATGTGAGACTTTCATTAGACACCTCAAAGCTTACGAATTGATTGCTATTTTCAAGGCTTATGCCTCATAGCGGCTAAGGCATGCACTTATTGTTTTGAAATATCTGAATTTTCTATTATTAGCATCATCATTTTGGGCTGTGTCTTAGTTTAGAGTGTTGTACATTTTTTTTATTTTGTTTTGGTTGTCTTTAAGCGGGGAGTTTACCTGGCATGGTCATGTCTTTATTACTAATAATTAAGAAGCGTGTTTTGTAGGAGCATCCTCACTTGTTGGAGGAAAGTCGAAGTTTCATCTTCATGTGGGGGTTTTGCTTCCTCCTCTAATAGTTCTGAGCCTTCTGGCTCAGGGCAGAACAGAAGGACCATTTTATTAGCAATACATGACTTGAACCCCTTAGGATTGGTAAGATAACTCAGTTGAGACTCGGGGTTGTTTTTAGCAAAACTTGGCAGGGTCTTTAAATAAGTTCACTTTAAGCTGGTCAAATGTTGTTACATATTTATACTTGCTTGTGAGGTGTTCAATAATGTTTTCTCCTTCAAAGTTTGTGTTCCTTTTCTGTGTTGTTCCCCTTTCTCATGCACTGCTAACTATCATGGAGCATCACAACATGGAGATGTTCTTCTCAATGTATACATGTTATTATAAATAATTATTTTCAGTCAAATACGTGTTTTTCTTCAAATGACTTGCTATTTCTGTTTTTCATATATAACTTTTTTGTGTATCAATCATCTTTCTCCTTAATATCTAACAGGCTGTCAGAAAGGATAACAAACAAAGGTTTAGCCTATTGGAAGAAAATGGGGAGCTTCTCATACGTGCGAATCAAGGCCACACCATAGCGGTAATGCATTGTCCAAAGATTGCAACTAGGACTCAATTTGGGCTGTAGCATTTGAAATAAAGTTGATAATTGAAAGTTGCCCACCATTTCTGTTATCTAAAATATTATCTCTCCCTTTATTGTTTCTTGGTTGAAGGAATGAAGTTTATCTAGATTTTGTTGTTGAAGTTGGGATCTGAAATTCTTTAATGAATTCTAGTCGTATACTACTAAAGTTTTAATTCTCTGAATTGGTGAAATTTTAAACAGTTTCAATGGAACTTCAATTCTTAAAAATCTTGGACATGGTTCATCATCTTGATATAATTTTTATATATACTTTTATAATTTATCAATGTCCCAAAAGCTGCTGATTTTGATTGAACTCTGAAAAATGTATTTGTAATTAGTAGTCAAGACACTATTTATCTAAAATTATATTATGATCGATTAGATAGAAAATGTAATTAAGATTCAAACTCTTTTACGTTGATATCAATTTCTCTAGGTTTCAGGCAAGAGCATTGATTAAAAGATTTGAGATCTTGTGTTGAGATATCTAATCTACAAAATTTTAGAAAAAGTGAGTAGTTGAATTGAATTGATTAGGATACAGTCTGATGAGATTGATGAATCAATTTATATTCTTTTTTCGGTTGTATTATTTGCATTGCATGTTTCAAGCGCTAAATTATGTTGAACTTGTAATATTTCTTAGCATTCTATCTTTGCAGTTTTGTATTGATGTATTAAGCTTTCCTTCCACAATGTATTTGGCTTTGAAGTTCTTTTCAAATTTAATTTTTCATCTTTATTTGGCTGCACCATTTGATTATTTTTGTGTCCCTTTTTCATTCTTTCTTTCCTAAATTTATTTGGTAGACAGATAGTTGAAACAGAGAGTTTGTTGAAACCTATACTTTCACCTGAAGAAGTTCTAGGTGAGATGTTACTTTGGATTGTCATCTATTTCTCTTCTTGAAGAGATCAAGTTAACTGTTTTACATCTTCTACTTCTAAGAGTTTCCTCCCATCTCGGCATTGTTCAGTGTGTGTACATGGGACCTACAAGAAGAACTTGGAATCAATTTTAGAACGTGGTCTCAAATGTATGAAGAGATTACATGTACATTTCTCTTGTGGCTTGCCAACAGATGGCGAAGTTATTAGTGGTGAGATATTTGATGTTTGTTTGTTTGTTGTGTGCTCTGTTCTATCATGTAGTTGCTCTGTCAGCAAATTTGCTTTCGGCATTCTTTATGTGCCCATTGATTAGGATTCCTGAGCAAAGAAAACAAGCAAATGGTTCTTGAGCACATATAGGAATGACTCACCATATTGGTTTGGTATATTTGTTGCATGTTTGGTATGCATGACTTGATAGATTTTTTTCATCATTGTATTGTCTACTATTCCCCAATCCTACTTACGAAACATGACATTAATCTTTTGCTTTTCAGTCTATTAGCAATGATACAATTCTGTGCATCGATGCTTAAAATTGATGTAACCTTTCTTCCTTGAAGTGTAACGTGAGATAGCTAGCTAGCTTTCTTCCTTGTTTAGCCACGGGACATAGTATAAGGCTTAAAATTTTGGGGAGCGGTGTTTGTAAGTAAAATAACCTGGATTTTGCAGAAGATCATTGATAAAGAATGTCTATTGAAGTATTGAACACTGAAGTAAAAGGATTCTCTAGTGAAAGTTTTGGTAAGATATCATTCAGACATACACGTGCAATGTTGTATGCATTAAAAAGTGTTGTACTTTGGGTGGCTTAGTGATGTTCCTATTATGTTTTTCCTTCAGATAAAACAGGAAAATTTTTTTTTTTTCACAGATTTTCATTTTATTCAGATTTATAGGGAAGAAGGCTTAGTTTTTTGTTTGTTTTCGACATATTAGATAGATCATTGTATTGGTGGTTTGATGATATGTGGGACGTGCTTTTTCAGGGATGAGACGAGATGTCAATTTGTTGATCTTTCTTGATGTAAGAAAAGCTATGGAAGGTACATCATATGAACATTGTGATAGACTTCTTGTTTTGGGGTAAACATCGTTTTTGCTTTTATAATATTGTTTCTAAATTCATCATCTTTTATTTCAGATGGAATGAAGCTTTACATGTCGGATAACAGGGTGATCTTGACTGAGGGTTTCGATGGAGTGGTTCCTGTGAAGTATTTCGAGAAGATAGAATCATGGCCAAAGAGAGAGCTTATACCCTTTTAGACGGGCAAGTAGAATTTATCTTCTCTTCGGTTATATATATGGCCATTTGCGTCTTTTAAGGTGAGATTTCTGTGTCTTCACCAAACTAGCTAGGTAGGTGTCATGGAATGGGACATATTTTATATTGTGTCTACATTGATCATCTTCTCGAATTTTCAATGACTAGTTGGAATGTAACTAAACTATGAGAATAATGTTGTCGAGTTAAAGCTTTCGACTCCAAAAGTGTTTATACGCAATTAAATATTAAAGAATTAAATATTTTAAAACAGTGAAATTAACATTCTCAAACATATTGAGTTATGACTAAGGATTTCCTAATTTTAGCAGCAACATCGAAGTCTAATTTTAATGCAAATAAATACGATAATCAACGAACGAATTACAAAATTTAGGTAAAAAAAATATTATGTAAAAATTTAATTGTCTTGTGCATTTTAAGGGTCTGTTTAGTACGGCTCAAAATCCAATTAAAATTGAAAATATAGCCGTTATTGGTCTCACCCATCTAATAAAAGTCAACAATAATGGTTAGTTTTTCAATTTTAATCCGATTTTAATTTCTACCAAACACCCTCTAAATTGGCAAGTAAATTGCATCTTATGATTTTTTTTTTCCTCAGAAAATATATAACTTCTTAGTAAAATGTCTGTCTAATTTTAATGAATTTGAAACTACAAAATTATGCAAATAATTGGTAGATAAATAAAGTTGAAATGCATCAACTTATATTCATACATCTTATTGTAAAGTTTTGTCATTTATTATATGTAAAAATTATTCAAATTTATATTCTTTTCGTAATCATTCAAATTATACTCTTGACTTTCAATTGTCGGTACATTTTATTTAAATAGCAAAAGGAAAAAGAAAAAAAAATACAAAAGCCAGTAGGACATACAAGACCCCAGCGCGAGCCACGCCAATCGGGTGACATATACCATCCCATTTTGCTAATAAAAGCTAAATAAAAATATTAAAAATTTAGTGGTTTTGATCTCAACTCATGCCAATTGAGCGAGCCGAGCACAAGACTTTCTTTTTAACTTATTTTTCGTCATTGTACAGTGTCTTCTTTAACCGTGCTCAAACATGGCCTTCATATGTTGAACAAGGCTATCTAACACCAGTAGTATTGAACACCAATTTAAATTTCAGCATATTATAAATCCTATTAAAAGGATCATAATTCTTCGAACATCTATGCCTCTATATGAGGGCTATTTTTTTGCAATAACATTGTTTTAAATGATGAATTTTTGAAGAATATGTGATTAAAAAGTTTAAAAAAAAAAAAAATGAGTCTACGTATAAAATATTTTATTTAACGAATGTGGTTAAAAATGAGTATATAAAAAAAAGTGTATATAAACTGGTGTTAAACACCAATTGTGCTAAATAACATTACTCTCATATGCTAGATCACAATGTAGATCCCAAAATCAAACACAGATATTAAGAATTTTAGGCATCCAATTGGATGTTCAAACAACCAGCACTATAAAATGAAACAATGTATATCAAGATAACAGATGATGAACCCTTTTACTGTAATATCCCTGCTTTAATACACGATGAGACCATGTTTGGTACAGAGTACTACACAGTACAGCAAACAAAGGATTGCTTATTTTCCGTTTCCAACACTATCAATTAACCAAACAAGCTGTAAAGTCGAAGCAACAAGCAGGATGAGATTGAGGACAACTTGGATACAGAAATGCAGGTCCATATTACACAATTTAAATAGCAGAACTCTAGATAAACTAAAATAATCAACAATGGAAAAATGGCTTTAAATACAGTACAACCCGCATAAAAAGGACAAAAATTAAATACCAGATGGAACTCTATAGTTGAAAGTAGAGATGGGCGTGCATTTTCACTGAGGATGCAAGCACAATCAATCACATTGCACCTTATATGTAATACAAAAATTATCACAAAAATCACCCCACAAAAAAACTAACAAACATGAAAATTATCACAGAAATCATTTAAGAAAGAAGGATCCTTTCATCAGAAGATTATATCAGGCTCATATTGATTACATACAACCTCATTCTACATACTGTCTCCCTTCCCACAGCACATCGGAAGAGCATTTTACTACTTAACGAGCTCCAGTTACAGTAAGAGAGTAGGATCAAAGGCTGTATTTGCTGTAGGGGTAAGGGACGAGCAAGAAGTAGTTTCAGTTACGAAACAGGGCTGGTGATTTCTAGGCACTCGACTTCTTTATGAAACTTTGAGTGAAGGGAGGACGGTATAGAAGCTTAATTTTCTGAAGCAAGCTTAGAGGCTTCAATTATATATTTTCTTTCTGCAACTAATTCCTATAAATTTTAACCATTTACCCCAACAATGAACAACTTATTAGATTATATCTTCATAAGCTTTGAGGATAGGCTTCAAAATTAAATTTGATTAACATATAAGGCATCCTATACTTTCCAGCCTATTTACGATTGATACTAGTTAATGTTAGCCTCAAAAATCCGTCGATCACGTGGCCAACAACACTTGGCCACCTCCTCTTCAATATAGATTCCACCTAAATTTTGAACGCGCCATTAAGAGGTCACCGACTGGATAAAAAGTCCAATTACCATTTGCACTTCGACAATCAAGTCACCGCCACAATTAAATATATAGAGGGCAAGGGAAAATAGGGGAAGGGATATGGTTAGAGGAAGTGAAAACTTACTTCAAATGTGTAGTTACCTGGCCTATTTATAGAAGATGAAATGGGCTAGGTGGGCGGTAGGGGTAATGGACCGAGTTTGACCCAATCCCTTTGACATAATTAATTAATGCCAAGTCAACCAACATGGGACCCTTGACCACGTGCAAGTTAGGCAAGTTTCTAGCGTCAACAGTTAATATTAAGTAAATTAGTAGTATAGTTGAATCAGATTCACCAACGATTTCCCCCTACCAATAATTTGTAATGTCCGTTTGTTCCTAGCATAGATTTATGTAGCTAACATTCAAACTTAGGGCCTGTTTAAGCCTCATTTTCAATGTAGAATGAATTTTGGAACAGTAAATTGACGGGAAATGTGTAATTAAAAAATAAGAAAAAGTTTTGGATTTATATGTAATATTATTTTATTGAAAAATATCTGATTGAAAAGAAGAAAAAGAAAAATATATTTTAAAAAAAAATGGGGATCAAATAAGGGCTTAATGAGAATACTCACGTTTTAATAGGCTCAGTTGCGTACCGAAGCATTTTATATATGCAAGTTGAGGCATAAGGATCAAGAGACAACCTAGTAAAAGAACTCAATATAATATAAGAATACAAAACAAATTCATAATAAACCAAAAAACCATTTGGAAGATCCACATAAAACAAATTAAGAAAATAAAAAACCTAAATTGCAAACAAACATAAAATAAATCAATAAAGTAACAAATAATAAATTCTCAAATTAGTAAAATCAAATAACAAAGTTGTAATTTACTATTGGGGGTATAAGCGACCTAAAAGCCTCTCATAGTATCACTCTTAATATGTCCAAGATAATTGTCAAATATTTGATTTCTCTATCCTCCTCTTCATAACTTTTGGTTTCTTCTCATTCTTTTTGGTGATGCTCTACTTACAGTCACGCTTTCTCCATCTCCTTTCGTGTAAAGGCAAAAAGAAAGAAAACTAAGAGAATGTAGAAAGTCTTAGACTATAAAAATAGCTCAAAAAGCTGAAGTCAATAATAAAATGCCTATAAAAGACAAGACAAGACAAACGAGTCCACACCTTAGCCACCCTTAGGCTCAGCAAAAAAAGGAAAGCAAAAATATCTGTGCAACGTTCTAATCTATTAAAATACCCCAAAAGGTGAGGCCAAAAATGAAAAGTCCAGAAAATGCTAGATAAATAAGGACAAATCATAACCACCCAGAGGCTAAATCCTGAGGCACGATCAATAAATCGAAGTGTAAGCCTCACTAAATCGATGAGTGATCCTTGAAAATTCTACAACGTGAACGCTTCAAGGCGTTAAATGAGAGTGTCGTCACATAAGATGCATTCTGCACCTCAAAGCCTCAGACAGCTTTTAAACAATGGATAATATAGATTAATTTGTTAATTTTCCTAATAAATCATCCCCTCCATAAATGATAAGACAGATCACAAGTATATGTGACTTCTCAAGGCATCCTTGAAGTGCTGGCCTTTGACCACAGTTCTACATTGGATTGTGCTAAAGAAGTTCTCATTCAAAAGGTTCACTCATTATTTATGATAGATTTTATCTCATATATGCGTAATCCTACGTATGCAAACATCTATATGAACGGAAGGAGAGAGATTCTATGAAATGATATACATCGAAGAGAAAATTTAGATTTATTACCTAAACCAGCAATTCCAGGCTTCCAAGCATGGGCAGCTACTATGTGGATCCAAAAACCGGGAAAGAAATTCCTGAACATACGCAAATGTACTAACACGGAGCTCCTTACATTAGAGAATAACACGATAAACTCCTAGCAAGCCCGTGAAACATTGTAAAGAAGCAAACTACTAATCTTTAATGATGAATAAGCTCATAAAAGTAGACATCCAATACATCAGCCTTTGCCACAGCAGTAATTAAGCAAAATTTAATTTACGAGTCATTTAATGTATCTACATAAAGAATGTTATAGACAAATTATCGTTTACTTATTTATTTGGATATTATAAAGATGATACAAGTCCAACAATCAGCATATTGCTTTATCAGACGAGTTGTACAGTGGTAAAACTACAACAATTCCCATGAATCACAAAGGTTTGTCGTGTCTTTTGATACAGACAAGAATGTCCCAAGCAAGCAATGCCCACAACAACAAAAGCTTCTTCTTCATGGGCTTTAGAATTTCATCTATATATGACATCATCAAGATATACAGAAACATAATAATGGGGGTGACAGATAGATTAAAACCAATCATAAGAATCAAAATAAACAAGAAATGGGGAATTGAAAAAATATTGTATTACTGTGCACTCTTCTTCCCATTACCATAGTAACTGAGATACCATTGAACGAATTTCTTCAATCCCGTCTTGAGATCTGTCGTGGGCTTATATCCAAGCTCCCTCTGAGCCAAGCTTATGTTAGCGTGTGTGAACTGCACATCCCCATTCCTTGGCAACTTCATAATCATCCTCTTGGCCTTCACCTTGAGCAACCTCTCCAAAATGCTCACAAGATCTGAAACAGGTACAGGAGATGTGTTTCCCAAATTATAAACGCGTAATTGTGCTGGCCCCTTCTTCTTGCCACCACTACCAGTACTCTTTTCAGCGGTGTCCAATGCCCCCAAACAACCCTTCACAATATCATCAATGTAAGTGAAATCCCTTGCAACTGTACCATGATTAGCTGCCTCAAAGATCGGAATTGACTTCCCCTTCAAAATATCTCTACTAAAAAAGAAATACGCCATATCTGGCCTACCCCAAGGTCCATAAACCGTGAAGAACCTCAATCCGGTAAGCGAGAGTCCATATATATGGTTATAAGTATGTGCAATCTCCTCACCAGCCTTCTTAGTTGCAGCATACAAACTAGCAGGCTGGTCAGTCCGATCCTTCTCTGAAAAGGGCACTTTAGTATTCAATCCATAAACAGAACTGCTTGAAGCCCACACAATAGCAGGCTGAGGATTTGCGCTCTTGCAAACCTCAAGCAAACTAACAAGGCCAGCAACGTTGCTATGGACATAAGAGCTAGGATTTTCCATGGCATAGCGCACCCCAGCCTGTGCAGCCAAATGCATAACATGGGTAAATGGGACAATGTCGAAAAGTTTGTTCAAGAGGGCAACATCATTGATATCACCCTCCACAATGTACACCCCAGTGCGCTCCAAAAGCGCCTGCCGCGCCCTCTTAAGGGACGGATCATAATAGTCATTGAAATTATCAAGCCCGAGAACGCCATCCCCACGGCGCTTGAGGGCGGCAGAAACATGGGTGCCCACAAAACCAGCAGCCCCAGTAACCAAAACCGAAATCCCATTTCTAGACCTGATTTTAGCTGAGGTCCTGACCTTTTTCTCCCAGGCAGGACCACCATAAGAATTGGTTCTGAGGGACCTCCTATTGAGATCTGACGTGACAGGAGAGGAAGAAGATGGTGATCTATAAAAGAACACAAAGATCGCACCAAGGAAAACAAAGGACCAGAATGTGAGCTTGGCTAGAGATGAATGCACCCTCAGCCTATTGTACGGGGATTTCTCCATCTTAAACTTACCCGGGGTTGATGGGGTGTTATCAATGTGCTTCATCTGTGACATTACACTCTAAAATCTTGAAGATTTGAAAAACACCCAGATGGGAAATCCCCTGTATTGTTGGCTAATCTAAAGATTTTCTTGAAATAACAGAACAAGTCTAGGGTTTGACAAATGACACCAACAAAAGAAAAAGTTTTCCTCGCTAAATAATTGTACAATATAAGAAAAATGTAAGAAAACAGGAAGGTGGAGGAGCCTTGAAGGCGGTGCTATGGAAGATTTTGATGCTTTATTGATAGTAATCTTCTGGTTTCTTGGAGGGCTTTTTATTTTTCATTTTTAATTAAAATTTTATTTTCAAAGTTTGATCATTTATTTAGAAATGGATTAATTTGGAGAGAGAGAGAGAGATTTTAGGGTTGGATTAAAGTGAGTGGAGGGAGAAGAATCAAGTTTACAGAAATTTTAAAAATAATTAATGGAAGAGTAAGAGAAAGTGGACTCCTGGAGAATCATGAACATAGTTAAAACAAGAATATAATTAATGAAAATATGTTATGTCAAAAAATGATTAGTGAATTAAAAAAAAAGGAAAACTACACTTTGGGTCGCAACCTACTGCAATGAAGCAAATTGGTCCTTGACCTATTATTTTAGTGGCTGCAGTCCCCAACCTCTTAATTTTATAGCACTTGAGTTTCGAATGGATAATTTTATTCTCGTCTTTGATTAAGAACTCGATTTTTATTATAGCACTTGAGTTTTTAACGGTATCCTTATCTTTGATTAGGAAATTAATATTTTATTAAAACGACGATATCATCTTTATCTTTAATTAAAAAAAGAAATAAATAGAAAAGAAAATACAAAATTGCTGGCAAGAACTCAATTAAAATGTAATGTAACAAATAAATACTGCAACGTGAATATAATTACTCTTTTAACTGTAATGGTAAAATTGTCGAGGAGGGCCAAATATTACCAAAGTGAAAGATCGAAGACCAAGGCTACCAAAATAATTAAGTTTGGGACCTAGAAATTATTTTTCCATTATAAAATAATGTTTTATTTTATCATTTATTTACCTTCACAAGTGCATAAAATAAAAATGAATTCAAAGTGTAAAAAGCAAAAAAAATATAAATAAAAAAGATTTTAATTTGATTGGCCGAAAAGGGGTGTGAAATTTTGGCCTTCACTTTCAAATGGTTTATTTTAAACCAATAATTATTGTGTGGTAGTTGTCTAATTGGGGAAGAGTAATCAAGGTTGGACTTTGAAATTAGGGTTCGTTAGTTGGAGATTATGTGGATGAGATTTGAAGGATAATTATGAGGATTCCCTAAATCTTATGCCATTGGATGGTGTGAGAGATTTGTGGGGATTTGAAATTTTATTTTGAAGTAATCTAATTAAAATTTTAGTTACAAGATAAGAATGAACTGCATTATAAAATACTAAGAATGTACTTAGTTCACCGAATAAAAATAAAATTGGGCAAAGTTGATAAAATTTCTCGGTTGTTATTTCAGTTAAGTTCGATTCAAAGTGTCAAATGCGACGAATAATATTTCTCTTTTAGTTTTTTTGAAAGTTGAGTTTCTAAAAAATTCTACTTAAAAGGCCATGTTTACGATTATATCACCTAATTACATCTCAAGTTTTTTTTTTCCAAAAGAAAAACGTATATAGCGTTCTGATTGATTAACAAGAAGGAAAATAGAACTTTTTTTTTTTTTTTATTTACTCCCAATTACATGTCTTTTGGATTCTTCATCTGTCCACCACCCAAGGGAGCGAGCTAGCCCCTTGTGTTGGTTTGGGGAAGCGGGTAGAGGGTGTTTCCATTGCGAACTGAAGGAGAGGAAGATAGCACGATCTCGATCCAAAATGGATATAGGAGTGATTGAAGCGATTGAATTTGAGAATATTCCTCTCTTTGTTTTCAAAAGTTATAATATAGTTATCATTTTGAAAACTCAACTTACTTCCTGTAAATGGGTTATGGTGTGGACTATTTTGGTGAAGTTGTTCATAAGATAATAGATGGTATCCTATTACTTCTACTGGTTGGACTTATTTTCTATCACGATTTGAGGAAGAGTCTATATCATGGTGAAGATCACTGTATATTTGGTAGGATTCTCACCCACGTTTTTTGTTTTACCATCCATGAACCATGTTATAAATTATAAACTAATTATAATTAAGAAAAAATAGGCATATACAAAAAAATAAAAAAATAAATAAAATTGTACGATTGTTTTTTGCCCTTGAATTACAAAGAGAAATGCTTTATTTTATGTCATGGTTTCCATTATAAGTTATGAGGTTTGTCCCACATCGAAAGTATGGATTTTGGGTATGTGATTTATAATCCCTTGGGCATCCTCCCTTTGATAGCTAGCTTTTGAGGGTGAGTTCTACCCAAAATGTTATAATAATAGTATCAGAGTAGACACAACGTCTCCCGGTTGCAATCGAGCGACGCGGATAGTGACGTCGACATAACATTATTCGTTCGGGACCAGCCATGGGCTAGTGCAAAGCCAGTCAGACGTGGATATCGGGATTGTGGAGCGTAGTGGTTTGTCATGGTTTCCTTTGTAAGTTATATGGCTTGTCCCACATCGAAAGTATGAGTTTTGAATGTATGATTTATAACCCATTGTGCACCCTCCCCTTGATAGCTAGCTTTTGAGTGTGAGTTCTACCCAACATGTTGTAACATTTTAAAGTTTAAAGATAAATACAAAATGAAAGTTTACATATTAGTGATAGCATGTAAATATTTCCCTATCATTGGTACGTTGGTCTAAGCTTATGAATCAACCATTTACATGGTTGAATCAAGTTATGGGCTTAACCATTCATCGTAAGTCAGAAGGATGATCTCATACTTAACTAAATCATCCTTCTTTGTCCAATACAACTAGCTCTTTTAGATTCTACTTTAGATAATACAGCATCAAGGTCGAATATGGCCAATAGAGTAAAGAAGTATAATAGTATAAATTTTGGCTTTCATGAGTATAATGTCACTCTTGATCCTCGAATATAATAGTATATAAATATAAAAGTATATGGTAAATCTTTTAACATAGCAAAAAAATCTTTCTTTTATGTTTTCCTTTATTCTCATGACAGTACAAAAATCGATATTTAGTATACACAACATGTCATTTGTTAACTCTGTGCTTGACATGTAAGTAAACCCATTTTTTAATGCGGACTAACCAAGTGATCAAAATGAAATGAAATCGTAAATTGAATGATCAAACGTAAACAAATTAAAGTTAAATGATTAAAATAAAATTTCGCTATAAGTCGAATAGTCAACCACGTATTTATTTATGTTAAGTGGAGGGGTGTGATTTTAATGCACGGTCAAAGTAAGAGGAGACAAAAAGTCATGTGTGAGCTGGAGGCGTCACATTAGTGTACAAACAAACTTGAAGAGAGGGCACAATTTTCTTTACAACACTAACATTATGTCACATTTTTTGTTATGTTAACTAGCATCATATGAATTTGCATGTGAAAACACCATTATTACAAAAGCACTAGACCAAACTACTAAGTTTACTTCAACGATATTCAATTGTGACTTCCAACTAAAAAGAGTGACTATTTATAGTCGAAAGGTGAAAAACAAAATAATCATCTTGTAAACTTTAAAAGAGAGGCGTTCTTTTATTATTCAGAGCATGTTTGCCCAGGATTAAAATCCAATTTTAATTGAAAATATGGCCGTTATTAAATCTCGTTTAATAAAAGTCAACAATAACGGCTAATTTTTCAATTTGAATCCAATTTTAATCTCTACCGAACACGCCCTCAATATTCAAAATTGTCCCTTCGATTTAAATATGAAGAAATTTACTCTTTTTTTATTATTATTTCCAACTGTTTGTCTGTATATGTACTAAATCTTTTAAAATTCTAAGTTGTCTCGATGTGAGAAATACTCCTCTTTCTATGAACTAATGGAGCGAATTCGGGATCAGATTAAAAAAAATTTTAAGTCGAATTAATATGTTTAAAACAATTTGCACATAAATTTTTTTTAACCAAAAAAAAAAAAAAAAATCAAATGGGCTATGTTCCCAGTCCCATCCCCCCTAAATCTTTCTCTGGTGTCCAAAATATGCATGTATCATGTATGCATTCTAAATATGGTTGAGGGAAAAAAATGAAGCAGAAAATTATGATTTTCCTGCATTGTAAGTTTGAAGAATATCAGCCCATTATCAGCCCATTTATCAGCTCATTATCGTTCAGCCCAACAACTAAAGTGGCAGCTTTGGCCCAAGCGTTTTAGGCGTGTTTTGTGATCACGTTTTTGTTCTTCCTTTCTGTTATTTTCGTTTTAGTTAGCAGTCTCTCTCCTCTCCCTATATTAATGGTTGTCGTCTTTGTTCCTACTGATTCAGTATGAATAAATAACTTTTCATACAAATTATACTTAGTTTTACTTTGTTCATGGTATCAGAGCATGGTTTAAAGGCTCTTAGAAGTTTTGCTCACTGAAATTAAATGGCAACATTAGAAGAATCGCCATTGATAGAATCGGAAGACGATGAAGCTACAGAAAGGCATGCTGCAGAGAAAGCATATTCTAGTGGAGATCCATTAGACTTACAGAACTCAGATCATCCAGGAATGCAGCTGGTGACCTCACATTTAACAGGTCAGAATTACCTTAGCTGGAGTAGATCTATTAAAATAGCATTGGGAGCAAAATTGAAATTGGGATTTATTGATGGGAGTTGTGGAAAACCGGGAGAAAACTCTGGTAAATTGGAACAATGGATTAGAGTAGATTGTATGGTTAGGTCATGGCTATTGAATTCGATTTCAAAGGAAATAGTGGAAGCTTTTATTTACACAGCATCAGCCAGGGACCTTTGGGAAGAATTAAAGGAAAGGTATGGGGAGTGTAATGGACCCCTGTTATATCAGCTGCAAAGAGAAATAGGAAGCATATCCCAAGGAGCATTAACAACTGAAAAGTATTTTACAAAATTGAAGAAATTATGGGATGAACTGGCATGTTTGAT